AGCCCAGGATACAGTTGGCCTTCTGGGCTGCGATCGCACATTGCCGGCTCATGTTGAGCTTCTCATCCACCAACACCCCCAGGTCCTTCTCCTCAGGGCTGCTCTCCAGCCATTTTTACTGGAAATTCCTAGATGCTGGAGAGCTGCGCTGATGGACGGTTTTGTTGAAACTGGTAAAGCTTCTTGTTAAAAGGTTCTGAGAGCAGAAATCTGTTTTACTCTTTTATTATTTATTGTGAACACGAACAAACTGCTGTTACTCTGAATGATATTAGACTATGTGATGCATTTTTTTATATTGCTGTAATTAAACTCCCCACCAACTTTTAAAGTCCTGACAGCGCTTCTATTTCGCTAAGAATCTATTGACTGTCTTGACTTATGTGCATCTGCCCGTCACGCCTAGAAATGGATAAGGGATAACTCCACCCTGATGGCAGGGAACTCAACCTGGAGGTTTCGATTGCATGTGAATCGGTACGTGGGTTCCGGAGAAGACCCCTGTAGCTGCAGCAGCTCCTGGGATCATCTGCCTTTCTAACAGTGAAAGCTGTTTGGACAATGGAATAGCTTTATGGGGAAAAAAGAAAAAAAGAAAAAGAAAAAGTGTGTCTTACACAGACACAGGAGTCTTACTGGAACTCATGTGGGAGGGCAACCTCAGCTTTTTGGCACAACTGAAGCTTCGTGAGACCCTGTTAAGGTTTATGAGAAGAGGCATGGATGAATTTTGTTTCCTCCCTACTGTGGTGTCTGTATAAAGTGTTTTTCCCGCCCCGGAGATTTTTACGAAGTTAGCAAATAGCTGAATTGTAAATGTGTTTGTTAAAGATTGGGTTTTTTTTCTTTCTTTATTTCAGATAGCACTGCTTTTTCATCATCAAATCCACACGCTTTCCAGATTAATTTTAACAGTTTGTACACAGCTTTGTGTGAGCAGCAGAAATCTGATCAAGCGACTCTTCTTTTATACATGCTTCTGCATCAAAACAGCAATGTACGGACGTACGTGTTGGCACGAACGGACATAGAAAATCTTGTAAGTATTGCTCTGCTCACCTTATACTCGTCATGAGGGGTTGGTCCTGGAAGCTTGGGTGTCACCAGCTGCCAGTGTCCCCTGCTATGCTGTGGGGGCTGTAGGTTCTCGCTCACTTATTCAGCATTTTTGGCTCAGTTATTCCTTTTTGTTGTGTCATCTCAGGAGTATGATGCTAAACACGTCACTGAAGTCCAACATAGTACTGCTAAAGCTACCAGGCTCTCTGTGCTTCCCTCTTTCTCAGTGTCACTGTCTGATCCAGGTCAAAACTGCTGCCCTCTGGGCATGGTGGAAAGAAACTGGTAGCAGATACCATTCTATTCTTTATTTTCTTTTTCTTTTTTTAACATGTTCAGGCCAAAAAGTTACACAAGCTGCGCGCGTACCGGGATAATAGTTAAGAAAATGAGCTGTAGCTTGACTAACACGCCAAACGTCTTGCAGGGTTGACCTGAGGCTGAAACTCCTCGAGGAGCAGCTGACAGATTTTATAGAAATACAACTATAGTGACTTTTTAGCTGCTTTAAATAGGATTGTGGTTAATGGCCAATCTAACAGACACCTGGTACAGTTTTCGTAGGTTAAAAATTAGCTTGTGCTCCCCACTACGTTTAGTAACGTCACAAACCACTTTAACAAATCTTACTTATTAAAAAGCATTCCTTTAATAAGATAATGGCTGTCTAGAGGAATTGGTAACGGAACAGAGAACCCTTTCCATTTTAATATTTGAAATCTTGCCAGATAATTAGATCCTTTGCCTCTTTGATGGCAGATATGGAATGAGTTTGGTCTCGGTCCAAGTTCTAGCAGATGTATTGCTAAAATCAGAGCTGATAGACACGACTGTTGGCAAACTCGGGTGAGATGGCTGATAATTGAATTGATTCCAGACCGAACCCCTGCGTAGTCCGCCGCAGATTATTTAGGTGAGGGCTGAGTAGTTTTGCATGAATCCGGTGAACAAATGGTCATATTTAATTTTCTGGGCTGTTAGTATGTGATATGACGTTTCACAGCTGCTAACCGTATCAATTTAATTTATCTTTAGAGAAATAAAGGTTAGGTGTGTGCGTTGTTTTGTAATTATGATGTCTGATAGATTGTAAAACTTCCAGAAAAACCATGAGGTGTGTGTGTCAGAGCAACTCCAGACGCAGGTACTCGGATGCTCTGCAATGTGGGATATTTTCATATATTATCACCAATTTATCCTCCCCCTCAAATAAAACAAAAGAAAATCAAACAAAACAAACCCCCCCAAAATAGGAAAATCTCAGAAATAATCAACAGCGTTAAACACTTTGTGGGAAAAACTGAGAAAATTGAGAAAAGCATCACTGAAAAGTCAACAGCATGTTTGATTCTTTATTTTTTTTTAATAGCAAAATTTGAAACTGTGAGCTCTCATTTTACTCTTCGTGCATACCGTTGCTTTTCGTGATTGCTGCTGATACGTTACCGACATCTTTGTCCGATCCTCCTGTTTTTAGCGGGCTGGTAGGCAAGGACGAGCAGCGGCCAACTGAGAAGAGCGCTTTTAATTCCTACGTAACACGGGCTGAGCCAGACACAGAAAGGGTTGGGGGGAGCGGGAGAGTTGCCGGACGAAGAAATCATCTCCTAATTACAACCCTGTGGCGAAAAAAAGGCTAATTCAATCTTGGGCTCGTAAACGGGGGGAGTTGCCGGACGAAGAAATCATCATCTCCTAATTACAACCCTGTGGTGAAAAAAAGGCTAATTCAGTCTTGGGCTCGTAAATGAGACGAAGGAGCAGGAGTCACGGAGCTGGTTCTTTCCTTCCCTATACGGCAACCGCGAGAGTGGTGCGAACGCACTGCGTACTATTCTGGTGTTGCACTACCGTACTTCATACAATATTTACAGCCTTTTGAAAAATGGGGAGGGTGTAGAGAAACGTTTCTTTTTTTATTATTATTTTTTGCTTTAAATTGGACAATAAAACTGAGCGGCGTAGAAAGCTAACTTCGCTCGCTTGGTCAGAAAAGAGCTTGGGAAGCATCAGGATGCACCTTCACAAGGGGAAAGCCTTGGATGGGAGAAGTCTCTCCTCTTGAAGAGAGGAAAAACTGAGCGGCGTAGAAAGCTAACTTTGCTCACTTGGACAGAAAAGAGCTTGGGAAGAAGTCTCCCCTCTTGAAGAGAGGGTGGGATAAGAGCTAAAGCCTGGAGGGTGAATCCCACAACTTAGAGATATGGGAGGAAAACCCTTCAAGTAATTAATTCAGAGGCAAAACAGTGCTGTCTGTGGATATTTTTGAATGGGGGTGGATGGCTTTTTGGAGGAATATGGCCTAAATCAGTGGCGTCTTCATGCAGAAGCAGTTGGGTGAAGGACGAGGGTCTGTGTTATATGAGAGATCGAGTCAGCGGCCAGCTGAACGCTCATCTTAAACTTTTAGGGCTTTCGCAGGTTGTTCCTGTTTCACTGCACTCAGTGCATCCCATTTGTTGTCTTTTCCCCTATTTTAATTCTTCTCGGTTTTGGTGCTCAGGAAGCATCGCTAGCAGATGTTCTGAGACATTTCCTAGGGGTTTTTGAAATGTGTCTTTGCTATTTTGTAACTCCAGTTTAATTTGTAAATTGATTCACTCTGGGTTTTAACTGTTTTAATAGATAATGTCTCAGCTTGCTTCCTCATTTGTGAATGAATCTCCTCCTTCTGTCATTTATATATGAATACCTTCATCTTCTCTTGTGCTTTATAATACTTTAGCGTTAGTAAGGCAACGCATCCTTTTTGCTCTTATAAGAAGTCTTCTTGGTAGAACGAATAGGATGTTTGTGTGTCTTCCGTAACTTACAGCGTATCACTTTGTATCATTTTATAAAATAATTAGGTTAAATACCTGATGCTCTTAGGGATGTTCCCATCTGGAATTTGGCTGTCATCTTGCAAATACTTGCAAGGATTCTCCAGGAATCGGTGGGACTGGTGAAATAGGGGTCAATTAGCAAATTTTTTCATAACCACAGCGTTGTGGTTCCTGGATGAGAGAACGTTGAGCCTTTTTTTATTTGAATGAGCAGTTAACACCGATATTGCGGGTAAAAATGCCAGCAAGATATCTGCTCGTAAGAAATAAGCTGGTTTTACCCGTTTTCAGGATTAAAAGTAACTTTGTAATGGTGTGTCTTGCTGGTTAGAAGCTGCTCCCGATGGAGGAGTGTTAGGAGTAGTCTCCTAATGATCATTTAACGCCGTTGAATAAAAGGGCCAGCAATACAAAAAGAAGTGGTAGTTGTCTTCTCAGTACATGGTTGGACAATGCGATTGCGTTAGAAGATAGATATAAAAGTTTTAATACACTTGTGTAACACAAAAGTGCAAGAAATGTATTTTGATTACAATTCTAGATAAATTTTAATATCGTTAAAATTTTAATTCAATCTTCTATCCTAACTCTGTTTTATTTAACTGGTGGCTTACCAAATAGTTTTTGTTCTAAGAACAGTAAGACTTGTCCTAAAGGTGTGTGTGCCTCAGCAATCAGGAAAAAATGTTGGGAGGAGGAAGGGTGATAGAAACTGTATGAATTAATTCAGGAATGACATGCAGTTTGGTCCGGTGTGCCATTTGCCTCCTTGAGTTTGGTCCGGTACGGAGATGGAGGGAAGTCTGAAAGAGGAGTGGGAAGGAAAGCGTGGCTGGGGGGAGCGGAGGTGGGAAGAAGAGGGTTCGAAAGCTTTCAAGGTGTGTTTGGGGCAGAAAGACTGAATGCAGTGATCTGGAGAGCCGAATCGCTCTTCAGAGTGCAAGTAATTTCAGTAGCTAATATGAAATTTCAGTAAGAGTGCTTTCACACAGGGGCTCATATAGAAATGTCTGTAACGTCTCAATGTCAGAATCAAGGTACTCGTTTTGATGTAGTTTCTAACAACACACTTTTAGGACTTGGAGCATTTAAGGAAAACAAATGCGCTTTTTCAGCAACAGTTTGACCTAATATTAGTGTGCACAGACAGAGGAGAGATGTTGGGCTGGTCTGAAAGAATACACGGGTATTTGGGAGCTGTCTTAAAAATTCAGAAGTTCATAGACTCATAGAATGGTTTGGGTTGGAAGGGACCTTGAAGATCACCCAGTTCCAACCCCCCTGCCCTGGGCAGGGACACCTCCCACCAGCCCAGGTTGCTCCAAGCCCCGTCCAACCTGGCCTTGAACACCTCCAGGGATGGGGCAGCCACAGCTTCTTGGGGCAACCTGCCCCAGGGGCTCACCACCCTCACAGCAAAGAATTTCTTCCTCATATCTCATCTAAATCTCCCCTCTTGCAGTTTAAAACCATTCCCCTTCATCCTATCACTGCATGCCCTTGAAAAAGTCCCTCTCCAGTTGTTCCACTGGTTACCTTCAGAGAGGCTTTTGTTGTTCTCCCCACAAAGTCAAGCATAAATGCAATTCTTCGGTAGTGTTATATTGCTTCCTGCTATTTGCAGCTTACCATAGAAACATTAAATGGTTACAGTTGGAAGGGACCTTAAAGACCATCTTGTTCCAACTCCCCTGCCCTGGGCAGGGACACCTCCCACCAGCCCAGGTTGCTCCAAGCCCCGTCCAACCTGACCTTGAACACCTCCAGGGATGGGGCAGCCACAGCTTCTCTGGGCAACCTGGGCCAGGGGCTCACCACTCTCACAGGAAAGAATTTCTTCCTAATATCTCATCTAAATCTCCCCTCTTTCAGTGTAAAACCGTTCCCCCTCATCCTATGGCTCCCCTCCCTGATGAAGAGTCCCTCCCCCGCTCTCCTGGAGCCCCTTTAGGGACTGGAAGACTTGGAAATGACTTTGAGCTAATGCAATGGAAAGCTACATGCAATATAAACATCGGAGATGGAAATAGTTCGAACAGTGGAATAATGCAGTGACGTTTATCTCTCTTTTTCCCCCATCCAGGGAAAAGGAGTAATGTTTTTTGCTACATGCTAAGTAGATATTCTCAGAAATCTTGGTCTTTACTCTCAAGACCTACATGCACAAAACTAAAACACAACTCCAGTTTTAACTGACGAGAGAGGTTTTGTGCAGGATCCTTTGAAATGGTAAAGGAAGGATGTTTGCAATGTGTAAATATTTTTTTTTTTTTTCCCCTCTGCTTTTGTTGTGGTGTTGTCTTGACCGTGGGCAAAGCATCTGTCAAAATGTTTTGTGGCCTGTGGCATTTAGATCAATCTCATTGGTTTTAATAAAAACTGTTGTGTGGTTTTTTGTTTTTTGTTTTTTTAATATGTTCCAACTGTTTTGGGACTGGTTGATGGTAAGAGAACATTCTGGTAACTACAGAAGCTTGTGAAGCACTCGGTGTCCTGGCCGCTCACCAGAATAGGTTTCACATGATTCATCCTGCTGCACTCGGCCTGTTTTGAAAACCAGCAAGCCTTTAGGTGTCTAAAAGCTTCTTGGAACGAATTCTACATCTCAGCCGCTATCTTGGAATTGAGAGTTTTCTCCAGTTCCTTTTTCCAGGGTATTTTGCGATGTAGGCCTATTTCCACGGCCCAGGGAAGCCACGTTGTCCTGAGCCAGTGGAAAGCTCTTTTTCAGTTGGTAGAGAGACAACGTTTGCATCTGGATTAACTTTAGACTAGCATTCAGGTATGCTTGCTGTTGCAATGAAATCTCATTTTCGTTATTATTTGCAAGCCTTTGGCTTGAGCCGTTCATCCTGGTGGAAATGTTGCAAGACCTTGGGCTGAACTCTCGTCGTAACGTCAGTTCGCTTTGGCTGCCTGTTATTTAGAATTGGAAAAACAGGCCTTTTCTAGTCTTAACCCAACCCAAACTGGTTCTTTTCTGGGCTTACCTCCACGCACTGAGATGGAATTTGAGTTTCAGGTCTCAAAATGCCTCTGGGCACCTCAGCTCCGATATGCTCGGCTATGTTTGATGAGGACAGTCCTTTCGGACCAGGCTTGTGGTAGCACAGATGGTTAGAAACAATTGTTTTCCTGCTTGAACTGGTGAAAAATCTTGTTTAACAATTTTATTTTCCCATAGTCTAGAGGGGCACGAAAGCTTTGGGAGCCTACGGTAACTGGTATGGCTGGAAATCTCATTTATTAGGAATTGAAATTCCATGTCCGACCACAAGAAAGAATTTGTTTAGACTCTCTTGTGGAGACAGAATAAAACAGATGGAAGGTGTTTGAACGCTGTACGTCACCGTTTAGGGGTGGTTATTTCAAGAGGGAGGAATCGCTATGGTATTGTTAAGGGCAGGGTGATACATGGGAGGTTTAGAGTCTCCTCTGTTTATCGTTCGAGGTGTTTGAAGACTAAATGAAGACACACGTTTTTCCTTCCCTAAAGGTTCTGCCGATTCTTGAAATTCTGTATCACATTGAAGAAAGGAATTCGCACCACGTTTACATGGCTCTTATCATTTTGCTGATCCTTACAGAGGACGATGGCTTCAACAGATCCATTCATGAAGTGGTGAGTTGCCGTTTCGGGAAATAGTTCCTCAGCTCTAAAAATTGTTGGAGTATTTCTTTTTGTAAAGATACATCTATTTCCTCAGCAGAGGCTGTGTTCATCCAAATTTGATGGCTTATACTCATTTCTTCCATAAGGAGCAGTACCCTGAAGTTATAGAAGAGTCATTTCGGAACTCTCCTGAGCGAAGCAAACAAACGCGCTCCCTCTTACAGGGGAGATGCTGCATATTTTTCTGTCTTTTTTTGGTGTTCCCTGTTACAAATTAACTTAGTGATAGCCAGGCAGGCTGCCTCAAAGATGCTGAGTGTGGAAGTGGAGGGGGCTAGAAGAGAGAGAAAAAACAGAAAACTTTTTTTTATTTCTCTTGAAAACCTTTCCTTAACCAGTTTGATGCAGTTGAGAGGAACTTTTAGTTGGACTTTTATTTTCCAGACTGAATGTTACTTCCTTACTTGGCATTTCTTTTTCTGTCTTTCTGCTAGATTAATATCTATTTTATGTTGTCCCTATAATATGAGCCAAATTTTGACTAGTTTTGATGGATCTTGACAATCTTTGCTGGAGAATACCTTGGGTAATTGTGTTCTAGTTTCCTAGCTTCTAGAGCTATGATAATGCAGAAGATACCTGCACTGATTTTATTTAATTTTTTGACTGGGATGTGGAAACTCTCTTTCTGGGGTTATGTGAAACGAATGAAATGCAAAAAGGTGGAAGCAAGTGTCGAGGTATCGAAACAGAGCTCTTCTCCCGGGTAAACTTCCAGCCTGTTTTGGATGGAACTGGCATTTTTTTTCTTGGTGCCAAGCGGTAGAGACTTAAAGTATTTACTCTCTGAAATTTCGGATTATTTCCTATAGCTCTCTATGTAGAAAGCAAGAAGAGGTGATGATGTTTATATGCAGTTTCCTGGGAGTACCTTTTAGGAAGCAGCTTTTGGGAGGAGCACCTCTAGTGACCATGCAGATGACCGAGACAACGTTCTCCTGAAGCTTTCTTCTGCCTCACCTTTGTGTGCCTTGAACCTATACGTACGCACCGTACGTGTACATGTGTGATGTTTTTGGGTTCCATATCGCTACATTATTTAACTGCTCTCATAAATTAAGCTTGCTGAGGGTTAGAATACAGCAGACAGGGTTTCGCTCCTGCCTCAGTCTCTTCCCCTGTCATTCTTCATTCATTTTAAAGGTTTTACACGTGATCATTCAATAAATTCCTTACTGGATAAGTAAAAGTAGAAGTTTTCCCTAAAATTGTTAATGAGGATCTAGCTGTGGAATGAAAACATAAATCAAGTTTTCTCGTCCAGTTTATTCTTGCCTTTGCAGCTACCCCTGCCAAAACAGTTGTCGTGTTTTCTGTGCAAC